GGGAAGAAGCTCCTCCTCAGTCATCAGTGAGTAACACCTCGCCGTGTGCCGTCTCTGTGTGCAGTCTCCAGGACCTGACGCTGTATAATCCAGAGAGAACCATCACAGTTAAAGGCTCCATCGAAGCCTGCTGTCAGGCTGAGGTGGAGATCATGAAGAAGGTCAGAGAGGCTTACGAGAACGACATCGCAGCGATGAATGTGAGTGCACGCGCGCAGACAACTGGAGGGGAGCGCAGCGACGGACTTTGAACTCTGTGAACTTATGATAGCAATATGATGGCGAGGCTGTTTGAATCGTATTCAAATAATGTCAGTAGTGCAGCACGAGTACGAGATGTGTGCTTTTTTTCTTTGTGTTGGTTCAACACTAGAACCAGCCCACCCAATGTAACTGTCATTGCGGTTTCTTACCTACGCTGTCCTTCTCTGCAGCAACAGACACATCTGATCCCTGGCCTTAACCTGGGTGCTCTGGGCCTTTTCCCTTCTTCCTCCAATATGCCCCCACCACCACCTGGAAATGCAGTTGGTGGCACCCCCTACGGCTGCTTTGGGGTAAGATTACCTGAGAGATAAGCTGATTATAGTTTTCTTTCTTTGTTCTTTTTAAAAGACTGTTGCTATTTATTTAATGGGATTTTCTTGGCTTTGTTTTTTTTCAGGCTCCAGAACAGGAGACGGTCCATGTTTACATCCCAGCACAGGCGGTGGGAGCAATCATTGGAAAGAAAGGGCAGCACATCAAACAGCTGAGCCGCTTTGCTGGAGCCTCCATTAAGGTGTGTTGATAAACTCAGATGCATCTTGTAAACACTTTTCAGGGGAAAAATACTTTGTTTGCATCTGCAGAAAGGTATTTTGAAAATACTAATATTTCCTTTTCCAAATACTGCTAGATGGTGAGGACTACAGAGCATTTACACGTCTACTTAGATTTGATCAAACCAAACACTGAGATTTGAATAATGTCTTTCTTGTATCTCCTTCAGATCGCACCAGCTGAATCTCCAGACTCCAAAATGAGGATGGTGATTGTGACAGGACCCCCTGAGGCTCAGTTTAAGGTAATCACTGACAGTCATTTACCTCTTTTGTTTGACATAATATCCCTGGTTGGTGGAACTACTTGTTGTTGAAAAGCGTTAACCTTCTTTTGTTTGCCCTCTCCTCCAGGCTCAGGGCAGAATCTATGGCAAACTGAAGGAAGAGAACTTCTTCGGGCCAAAGGAAGAAGTCAAACTTGAGACTCACATCAAGATGGCAGCTGCTGCTGCAGGAAGAGTGATTGGCAAGGGAGGCAAGACGGTAAGCCATAAAACCGTATACCTTGGTCTACTTCCAGTAGTAACATATTCTGCACATCAGGGTGCTTTAAGTAAGGACTGTTGCTGCCGCACTGACCAAGTCTCGTGTCTCCAGGTGAACGAGCTGCAAAACCTGACAGCAGCTGAGGTGGTGGTTCCCAGAGAACAGACACCTGATGAAAACGACCAGGTCATCGTCAAGATCAACGGGCATTTCTATGCTAGCCAGGTACACCTTTACTGTTTCGTAATGTGCTCATATATCATGTTCTCAACAAACTGTTCTATGGTTATAAACTATGAAGTATCACTACTGTTACAATGACCTTTGTAATGTGTCATTTTAATTGTTTTGACACATCATTAGGTCAGTTTTTGTTTGCAGGTATTTTTCTTTGACTCTCATAATCCAAAAAGTGTGAGTGTGAGACAAATTCAGTGACCACTTCTAATTAGCA